TATATATATATATATATATATATATATATATATATATATATTCATATAGATCCATTCTTTAGAGTTAGTAAAATCCCGAATTTATTCACATCGTGTGAAACTTAGAATGAGGTTGAAATCCTGCACTTCTGGAGGCTCTTCTTCGGCGAATCCATTTTTACAAGTCGAGGCAATCCAGATGCATTGGTTGGAGATGTGCAATTTCTTTGGTCAGATCCAGTGTGTTGAAACTGAAAAGGATATTAACAAACTGAGTGGCGATCTCCCCACAATTGAAGGACATTTAGACTTCATCATCGAAGAGTTAAGCAAGGAGCGGAAGGAGTGGATTCAGGGTGTTGGTCATACCTATCAGTCTCAAACGCAGGTCTGGCGCTCTTCTGTGGCGGATATCACTACGCGAGGTAGCATTACTGAAGAGTTGCCGTCGCCAATAATTTCTCGAGGTGTTAGTCAAGGGCCTGGAACAGGCGAGTCTTTGAACTCCCAGGAGTCACCTGCCCCCAGTCACCGCGCTTTGGATACTACACTATTTTTGCTCCCACCTTGCTATTTTTATCTCTTTGGCGATTTTACTTTGCATTTACCTTACGATAAGGACCTCCCACCCGTTCCGAATGACGATGACAACAGCGAAACCTGCGCGGTTGATTCCACGACGCGCGTGGGCGATACCGACGGTGACGATGGCGACCCACCGGTGGATTCGTTGAGACCCCCCCTTGGCGTCCGCACCTTAGACCCCCCCCCAACCGCAACGCTTCCGTTAACCATTGGGCCACTCTTTCTCCTGACGCTCTGCATGTACGCCAAGCACAACCAGCCGTTCGGCGTGCGACTTGTCATCTTGCGTTTCCTCACCCGCCTGTTAAACGAGGTCGACGTCCCACCTTCCCTTCACGTGCTGTACGCCCACTTGTACCCCAGTAGTTCCCCGCGGTCGGTTTTGCAGATCACCCCGGAGTCCTCGATTGTCCCTCTGTTGGATATGATCCGCTGCGTGGGGCGGGCGCTCGACCCCACGGCGGCTACACGGCAGCCGGACGCCTTGACACCGCCCCCCCCCCTGGACCCCGGACGAGGCGACCCACCTCTCGTGCGAGCGGTTGGAGTTCGTGCGCTTTCTCTGCGCGCTGGCGGAGCGAATCGAACGCGTGCCGGACCTGGCCAACTTCTTTATTATGATGAAGGAGGACGAGACCTTCGAGCTGCTGCGTCTGTTGCTGCCATACCTCGGGCTCGACGCCGTCGCCTCGGATTCAGGGCGGCGGCAGGACCAGGCCCGTTTGGCGCTTTCGGCGGTCGCCTCGCTCGCGAAGTGCGCGGACCCATGGGTGCAGGGCCTCGTGGGCGCCGAGGCCGCCGTGGTTGAGCGGACGCTCTCGGAGGCCTGCCATACCCTTATCACCCTCTGCAAAATTCAGGGCAATGAGGACAGCCAGGCTCAGCAGGGCTACCTCCGGGACGTGCTGCTGTTTTGGTCCGTGATCGTCGTGGCATCCCCCGTCGTGGCAGCGCGGCTAGGGTTGTTGGAGCGGGTCGAGAGGGATTTCGCGTGGGCTGCTCTCGCCCCGTTGCTGGCCTCGTCAGATCGCGTCGTCTACGCCGCGGCCAGCCTGCTGACGGCCACGCTGCTGGACGAGCTGAACTCGGTGGCCCCCGCCCTCAGCGCCATCTTCGGGCGTGTCCTGCTCGCTGCCGTTGTCGACGCAAACACTGGACGGCACTGTGGGGAGATCCCCGATTTCTATACTTATTGGGTCTCGTTGCATGATCAGAACTGTGCGGAAGGGGGGCACGACGCTTTGGAGTACACGGATTCGCATACGTCCTTCTTCAATTTTTTTATATTGTCCCACCTCACCTCCATTCCTTTGCCCTCAGACGAGATCCGCACCAGCCGTGATTCGCACAAAGTTGCGTTCACGGAGTGGACCGCAATGGAGGCTTCTTTGGTGCTTATCAAATCCTTGGCAGAGAATCTACCTGTAGTGTTCCTCAAGTACGTCTTGTTGCTTGACGTCGGGACGTTAGGGGAAGTGTGGAAAACGTTTAATTCCAGACGTGCTGAGTCAGATGGCAAGGAAAGCCGGCGAGTGCGTGGGTGGCTTGCTACCACGTTCGCACCGTTGATTGAAGTAAATGTCTGCTTCTCTGCTCACCTAAGTGCTTCTAATAGGCGGGTCTATGGTATCACCGACGAGCAGCTCGCCCAGGATGTTCTCGAGCGAATGCTTCGAATTGAGTCGAATGCACCTTTGAACTACTTGCATCAGCGCCAGGTGGCCGAGGGTTCCTTTTTCCAGGACTTTTCTTATTATATGACAAATTTGTCCGAACAGCGAAAAAGCGTTCCGAAAACGCAACAAGATACAGGGGAATTGTCGTCAATGACCATTAATGAGTCCGATGGGGATTCGAAATCTACCCTTTTCAAGGAAGCGCCAACCTCAAAGACAATGGCGGACCCTGAAAAAGCCCCCAACGCATGGTTTCACAAGGGTCTGCATCAGGCCCCGTTAATCATTTCCCTCACTCGTATTCTTTTAAAGTTGTTTGATTTTCCATATAGGGTCAACATCCTTTTAAGCCAGGCACTTATTGCGATTTGTCTTTTACCAGACTTACGTGCCCTGTACACTCTCATGGACTCTGAGCATGGCCGGCTATATCACAGTTTACGCGTTTTACGGAATTCGATCGACAAGTTGTTAGATGGGGACTATAAAGCGTCTTTGGTTATGAATAATGCGATGGCTACTACTTCAGATTACCCCCTCCAAAGTAAACCGAATCGGCGCACCTCGAAGGATGGCAACCAGGGCTCCGGTATTGATACAAAATCATTGTCCTTGTCTTCTCCTCCAAAGGCTTCAGAATTTCCTACTCTCATTTACTTGTATAACATTTATCTTGATCACTGGGATTATCTGACACCCCCTACGCTTTGTGATTGCGACGATCTTAGTGATCGTCATGCGCTTAATCGTCCACTGCCCGCGTCGTTGCCGGAAGCGATTGGTAAAGCACTCATCAAGAACAAGTGCTTTTTAGAAACCTGCACTGTACTCGAGATACTGCGCTTAGAGCTCGGTGCAGTTGTGGGGTATATGGCCCTCTCACATAGTCTTTTAAATTTGCAACCTGGCAAAATAAAGGGAGTGAATTAGTATGAGTGAAATAGTAATATTTCTCACACCTTAGAATCTTAGAGAGCAAATTTGAAGCTTCCTTTCTACGTATTGTTTGCTTTATGTGTGCAGTGAGGTTTTATGGCATCATATTCGCGAATGTGTTTGATTTTATTGTCGATCAAAACGTGTTATGATATATCGTTTTCGCAATATACCAAAGTTCATCAAAAGCGTTTGTATATTTTCAACACATTTTGACATTATTTTCAGATTTATTGTTGGTTCCCTTCGTTATGAACGAGAGCTGTTAATTTTTTAAAATAGGCTATTTGATTTCCTTGTAATACTTTCAACACAGTTTTTTTCTCGTTGTTTCATTTTAAACGTGATTCAATGGACAAAAGGGGATGTCCTTCCGGGGGGATTGAAACGGTGAGGAGAACGCAAGATAAAATTCTTGTTACCATTTGTAGAAAATAGAGTAGTTCCACATTCATTGTGCTTTTCTCATATTTATGCTCGAGCTTGATGGACGAGAGCTGTTGTATTCCGAGTTCAAGGAAAGATGTCTTCAGCCCAACCTCCCTGCGATCATACGTCACGCGAATGGACTGACCGATTCGTGGTTTAATGTGGAGTCCCTAATGGGTCAGCTGTCCCCCAAGGGTCTGTTGAGTGGATTTGGGGGGAATCACCTCGTGCCCGCCTACGCGATGCCATCCCAGAGCTCGCCGGAGGACGGGAAGGAAGCTCCGGACACCGCGGCCTACGGGTCGTGCGAGACGGTGCCTCTCAGGAGGGTTCTGGGCTCCTGGGACCGGTCCAACCCTGATGCCCAGCTTCTGTACTATCTAAAGGACTGGCATATGCAACAGGACATGGAGGCCCGCCGGGGCCCCCTGCAGGTGGACCCCTCACAGGGGCCGTCACACGGCGCGGGCCTTTATCGCGTACCGGATTACCTGGGGCCGGATTGGTTGGATGGCTTTTGTAGAGAGGTCAGGGACGCCCCAAGACAGCTGTGGGAGGCGGGGCCTCGTGGCGACGGCCCTGTTCAGGACGAAGGAGTGCCCACCTCGAGTCCCCGATCCTCGGCTCCGTTGTGTGGGTTTGGCGACGGGCACAGCGACTACCGATTTGCTTACATCGGCCCCACCGGCACGTGGACACCGTTACACTATGATGTCTTTGGTACCTATTCTTGGTCATTCAATGTGTGTGGGGAAAAACTGTGGTTTTTCCCCACAAAGGAAGGAAATGATTTCCTTAAACAACACAATATCAAAGGCTTTCCAACACCACCCGATATTCGTGTCATGGTGGGCTTTGAGTATTGGAGCTTTGTGCAGCGCCCAGGTGAGTTGGTGTTTGTTCCTTTCCAATACTATCACCAGGTACACAACATCGAGTGTGAAGTATTGGAACCCTCCATCAGTAGATGTCTCACATCCTTCTCGCCTCTAGAAGGGATGCAACTGCTACCGCTTACAATTTCAGTTAATCATAATTGGTGCAATGAGTTTTGTATCGAAAGTATGGTTCGTCTTTTTCTCGATGACGTTGGTTATCTCAGGCAAAATTTGAAACCTGAGGATATGGCCGCTGTCTATGGCCCAAACGATCCCGTTCTCTGGACTCGGAAGATGGAGGAGATGCTACTCAACGGAACTAACTGGAGTTTTAGGTCTATGCTTTCATTTCTAGGCTTTATCCAAGCTCAATTTAACATGCTAGACGAAAATGTGATAAACATTTTAGCATCACTAGAGAAGGAGGTACAGGAAGCATACTTGACGCTGTACACATGAGACACAAGGGCATTAACAAAGACGGTGTTTTCAATATTCCTAATCGTTAATGGATTTATTCAAAGTTAGGCATCTCTGTTTGATACTATGGACGGTGAGCTAACTTCGAGGAAAGTGCATGACCATTGTGCCAATTTAGTGCAAGCCACTGGTTGTTTGCGTTTTCATTTTCTTCTTTCCTGTGCAAAAAGATTCAGGCATTTAAGCCCCGAGAATGACTTGATTCATTAATCAAGAAACATCAAAAAGGACTTATTATTTCATAGGGCATTTTAAATAAGCTTCTCAGTGTGGGCTCCAGATGTACCCTTTTATTGACATTTGTTCGCTCTGAGGATAATTGTTTAATTATATAAATAACGCGAAATTATCTTCCTTAAATTTTATTTGCCCAGCGTCTAAGGGCCTAGTTACATGTAACTAAGTACAAAATATTTTTATTCTACACTTTTTATTACAATAAGCGTTTTGATGAATTTCTACTTTGTTATTCTCAGACAGCTGGTATCTTCTTTTTCCTTTAGAAAATGTCAATTGAAGATTATTTTTACCTTCTTCCTTCTTTTTTCTCTTATGGTGGAGCAGGATACTATTATATTTATATATCTATACATACATATATTTGCATATTTTTTATTTTTAGTGAAGAGCTTTTGCATGTCGCTCCAAGCCTTAGATTGGATCAGCTCGAAACTCGGTCTCAATATCACAGGCCGCGATGACTGCTCGACTGAAAGCCATCCTTCAAAGGGCTTAGACGAGATGGAGTATTTCAACAGTTCCACGCATCTATCTACTACGACGATGGAAAGCGATTTTAGTTCTGAGAAAACTGGGCCGAATTTGGGGAAGTATTGGAATCAGATGAACCAAAAGGTCACTTCATGCCTTGGTAGTCAAGGTAACAATGTTAAAACCTTTTTCCAATCTTTCGTGAATAGTAAGAGCAAAAGCTTTTCTAATAAAAACACCAATACGACTCTTGACGTTGACGAAGCCGTAAACAATGAGCTCGATGAAAATGGATTGCCCGTCACACAAAACTGGTACTATTACGATAAGCAAATGGGACATTGGAATGTGTCGCCCGATGCGCCTGAGGCGGTTCGACAGAAACATATCGAAAAGCTCCGGGCTGAGGCCAATCGAATGGATCCAACCCAAGTCACTCTGCCCCCGCCCCCGCCGATGATGGGGTCACCGAACACGAACGGCCCGAACTCCCCACCCCGTCCCGGGGACGCCGCTACCAAAGGCCTCTTTACCCCCGCCGTGACCAATGAAGGGGGCATTCCAAATCGCGTAACCGGTCCGCGTTATTCCGTGCCGGATTATTTTAATATCGCGCCCCCCTCTCCCGCGATGGAGTCGCGGAATCCGCCAACAGCGATGGCGATGCCACCACCGGGTGGGATCTACGGCAGCTACGCGGGCTTGGGACAACCGAGTGCGGTGGATTCCTCCGGTGCGACTGTGAAGGCTGCATCGGTGGAAACCCAGGTGAGGGTCAATCCCCTGCCGCCGCCACCTCCTGCCCCATACCAGCAGTCCCCCGTAGCGCCCTCCATGCCGCCGTTTCCGGGGGGAAATCCCATTCCGCCAGGCGGCCCCCTTAGGCCCCCGACAGCTTCTTTCCTTGCCGCCTCGCCGGATGGTATGGCGTGGCCTCCGCCGCCTTTTCCGCTGAACCCTACTGACGGTGGCCTCGCGAACCCGCCGGGTCCCTCTCTTCAGAATGGCCCGTCGACAGGGGGCTACGGGGCTGGCGGGGGCCTATATCAATACTACACCGCGGAGGCACCGCCCGGTAATGGTGTCTGGTGATCCTCTATGGAAGACTTTCCCTCAGGGTTTCCTCCCACCGTCGCTGTAGTCCTTGGCTTTGCGATCTTCCATGGTGGCCGCACCACGACGCCTTTGTTATCTTTTCACTGGTCATTTATAACTTCTTTTTTCTTGACTTTAAAACCCGAGAATGGATGTACTCGACTCTGACGTATTCCCCATTTTCTTTTTCACTAAAGAGAAGATTGGTGACCTAAAGGCCTTATCTATTATGTATAATTTTTTTATAATCGGCGATTTCAGTTATTTTTGATGGTACTCCATCTAGGATAATCTGGTCAAGCACACATCCTTTTTTTTGCTTTTTTTGATAGCTTCTGTGCCTACTAATATTTACAAATCGGTTTAGAACCATATAAATATTTAGTAATCTACACTGTTGTCAACATTTATTGTGTAGATTCCAACACAAATCAAAATAAGTAAAGCACAGATTTATTTGGCATTGTTAGACTATTTTTAACTCTTCCTTCTAGATTTACATGCTATTTATAAGTATCTTGTCGGATATTTAATTCCTTTCCACATCAAAGAAGACTGAGTAATAAGTATTTGAGTGCTTTTGAAATCTGTTTGGATCCTAGTGTCAGCTAGAGGTATAGATTTAAAAATGGAATAACTAATGTAAAACAGATAGCTTATGTTGAATCTGCATATCGACTAGAGAGGTAGAAGCTGTGAAAGATATGAGCCTTTTGCTATTTTGGCATTATAGTTATTAGCTTATATATATATATATATATATATATATATATATACTAAC